ATTTCGTTTTCCATAAACATCGCCTTCGTTAGGTCCAGCTGCAAACCGACCGGCGTATCAGCTCGAGAGTTTCCGTAGACAGACGTCCCTTGGTGACTTTCAAACTCTCTGCCTTCCTGCCACTCTCGTGAAGGTGTTCAACGAGCCGATGATATTCCTCGTCGATGTTCTCGATGAACGGAATCCTCCCATAAGCTGACAAGAGAAGTGAAGTGATCCCAGTTGATGACTGTCCTGGGCTTCGCTTCCTGGTTGAGGCTTACCGCCATAACAACGCTTTCAAGTGTTTGCAACGTGTTTGCATGCTCCTTTCAAGTACGACCTAATTTCTTTATGAAGTTTTCGATCAATTATTGTACAGGGTAGGGTATGGGGTACTGCCACGTCACAGAAAGTGACGTCATTGTCAGTGACAGAGACCAATCTATAAACGGCAAAGATACCAACAACAGAACACGTTGCAAACACTTGACAGCGTTGTACATGGCGTAATTTCAACACTGAATGGTCTTTCAGCTTGAAAACAAGCAAAATTACAAAATGCAAAAACTTCATCATGACCAGGATCCGAACCATAGTCTCACCACCAACATGCGCCCCACTACCACTCTGCCAGGCCGCCGCTGCAGCAGTGGGCTGAGGGTGCCTCTTCTAATGGCCATTAAAATTGACTAAACCTTGAAAAAGGCGGAAGTGGTAAATGTCGATTGAGGGATACTGATGGATCGGTTAGTGCCACGTTAACATTATTTTTGTATTGCTTAGTTCACCCTTTATAAAGGTCCTTCCCTTTTACTGCATTATTGCTCAGTGTTCTGGCGGCATAACTATGCATCGATTGCATCATTACTGCACTGACAAAATTTAGCAAAGTAATCGAATTAGCAGCTACAAGATCCGTCAGTGACTCTTGTATGGAGATCTGCAGCGCTATAACATAATTTGTCCAATGGAGAAAGCATGGACGAAAACCCTCTCTTACCAGACTCCTTCTCTCTTACGTAGACTTTTTGTGTCCATTGGCATAAGGCTACCAGATATCCGTAATTACTGGAGTGGTATCCATTTGATCAGACTGATGAGTTGGGCTGGCTTCACATGTTGTACCAATAAATGACGCTGTTCAGGGATTTGAGACCCGAGGTACGACGCTATCCAATGCTCGTCTGACCCTGGATGCAATCAGAAAGACTCGAGCTACGGCGAGAGATATTCTTCTTGCCAAGCTCAAGAAGAACCCAGCTAAAAGGCAAGCGAAAACCTTCAAGGTTTCAAATGGTTTCAATGGAAGCAATTCATCCTTTCGAGAAATTGTAGAGATGAAGCAAGGGTAAGATAGACTACTGAACTGCTTTTTTGTCATTTTCAATCTTTGCTCGCTGGCCGTATCGATTTGCAATTTTAGCTAATCAGTGGACAAACTCGTACACGAATTACAATTACATAGGACTTGGCTTGTCTGCCTATCCGTGATGAACGAATTGCAGTAGTTCAGTAGTGCAGTTAAGATGAGAGCAATTGAGCAATGTCGCTCTTGCTTTTCTTCAATGATTGCATAGAATTGAGTGGAATTAAAGACACTGAGTAGAAAGAGAAGAGAGGAAATCAAGGATTCTTATTCTCGTCCCTTTCGTCATTAAACAACAATTAAGAACTGATAAGCTCAGAGCTCGCAATAGATCTGCAGGCCATCAACGTGCCATGGTGGCTACTATGAACTAGCAATATGCTAACGCTTTGAAGTCTAAGGGTGCTTATTCTAAGTCATTGACTCAAACCTTCCTATTTTAGGGCCATATCTTCCATGGAGAAAACCAGTTCCTGGTCTCCCTCAAATTCTCGTCACTTCACGACCCTTGAACCGATATCCATTGATTACAAGGACTACGGTACCGACATAGAGCCGAAAGCAGACGACCTTTCTGACCCATGCGTGCAATACATGGCATTGGGCACGAAAATCCCTTATCTATATATGGACTACACAGCAAAGATTATACTTCAGATAAATGCTGGGGAGGTTGGTTTTTACATTGTCTGATACCTCGAAACTGATCATGATGACAAATTTCAAGATCTTCTCGGTGGATGTGCTCCGAAGACTCTGTGAAGTGGACACGGTCATTGACAGGGTAGTAAACAGCTCGCAGTACAAACCAGCGGGTCTTCCATTTAAGAACTCATTCAACCTCCCTTTCTATTCAAACTGTCTTCGCTTCTCAACAGCGAATCGTTGTGATGCGATCAAAAAACCACCACACACACCACCCACACCGACACGACGATATCTCTGCCCACGCCCATCACTCACGCCACGCTATACGACACCTTGCACTGTAGCTCCTCTCTCCTATCCTATCTCAGCGATGTCGTCAGCGTAGAGGATGGTCTTCAGTGGTCCTTCCATGAGGCCCTTCACCATGGTATCGAGCGTTAGGAGGAACAGGAAGGGGCTCAGAGCTGACCCTTGATGCACCCCAACCGTGATGTTTATCTCCTTTGTTAGGCCGTGAGGGGTGCGTATGGCTGCTTTGGCTCCTTCGTACATGTCCTTCACCAGCGAGATCAGGTGTTCTGGCACGTTTCGTTCCCTGAGCGACCTCCACAGCACTGCTCGCGGTAGCCGGTCGAACGCCTTCTCCAGGTCGAGGAAGGCTAGGTAGCAGGGTCGGCGTTTCTCTCGATACTTCTCCATCACTTGCCTTGCGATGAAGATGGCATCCGTTGTAGATCTTTCGGGCATGAACCCGAACTGTTCCTGGGAGATCGGGACCAGCTCCCGCAGCTTCTTATCGACCAGTCGCTCGTACAGCTTCATGGTATGCGCAGTCAACTTGATCCCGCGGTAGTTGGAGCAGTCCATTGCGTCGCCCTGCTTGAAGATGGGGACGATGGTACTTGTCCTCCATGCATCCGGCATCTTTCCTTCCACTGTTACCTTGTTCAGGAAGCTGGTGAGCCACCTTATGCCGTACTCTCCGAGCGCCTTCCATGCCTCGATTGGCACCCCATCTGGGCCAACCGCCTTTCCAACCTTCATCCTCCCAAGTGCACACCTAACCTCATCCTTAGTCCAGAGTGCGATGGGACCAGCTGTGGCCTCTGCCCGTGAGTCGTTCTTGTGGGGGAACTCCTCGTTCAGAAGCCCCGTGAAGTACTCTTCCCACCTCCTCTTGACTTCGGCTGGCTTTCTTAGGATGACACCATCGCTGCCTTTTACACTTTTCACCACCCTGATGTCTTGAGTAGCGCGATGGCGGGCCTTAGCCAGCCTGAAGACGAACTTCTCTGCGTTTCTGCTTTCCAACTTCTCGTACAAGGCGTCCATTTCCGTGTTCTTCGCCTTGGCGACAGCAGCCTTAGCGAGCCTCTTGCAACTCCTGTAGGTGGCGAGGTCTTCGGGGCTCCGGGTCTTCTGCCAGCGCTTGTATGCTTCCTTCTTCTGCTTCACGACTCGCTGGACCTCCTCGTTCCAGAACCACGCTGCCTTGTCTCCTCTGAATCCACCTCGCGTCTCTCCCAGTACCTCTTTGGCGCATTGCAGGATAACCTTAGCGGCATTGCTCCATGTCAGCTGAACTGGTCCTTGTGGATCCGGGAGGCCAGCTTCCAGTACCCTTCGCTTGAGGTCATCCTTCTCCGCTTGGTGCAGCTTCCACCACCGGATTCTCCTCTCGGTTCTTACCCTTGTCTTCTTGGGGAGGTCTATCGCAATGTCTGCCAGGAGGGGCCTGTGCTGGGGAGCCAGATCTTCGCCGGGTAGAACTTTGATATCCTTCACAGTTTTGAGGGTTGATCTTCTTACCAGCACATGGTCGATTTCCGTCTGTCTCCCTCCACTGCTGTAGGTTACCTTTTGAGATTCCCTTTTCGCGAAGAACGTGCTGCAGACTGCCAGGTCGTGGGCTGTAGCCAGGTCCAGAACCCTCTCTCCCTCAGCGTTCCTCGTTCCTATCCCTCTACCTCCGTGCACTCTTTCTAAGCCTCTTCTGTCACTACCGATGTGACCATTCAGGTCACCTGCTATGGTCAGGTAATCATCTTCCGGAACCGATCTTATGGCTTCGTCCAGGCTCAGATAGAACTCGTCCTTATCACTTTCGGGGCACCCGGCTTGCGGTGCGTACACGGAGAGTATGGTCCAGTACCCCTCCTTCGTGTCTATCCTCACAGCCATGATCCGATCGCTGATCCTGTTCACAGCGGAGACATAGTCCTTGAGCGACTCCGCTACCGCTATGGCCACACCGTTCCGCTTGGTGTCTTCTCCATTGTAGTAGAGCTTTGACACCTTCCCCGATTTCCCTGGCCTTAGCACCTTTCCATCGCGTCTCCTGAAGGCATAGGACTTGGATATTCCTGCGCGTCATCAGATCAGCAACCTCTCGGGACTTCCCAGTTAGCGATCCTACGTTCAGAGTCCCAATTCGAACTAGCTTCTTTGGCCGAGGCCGTTCACTCCTCGGTAGCCCTCGCATACTGACCACAGAACTCGGGCGGGGGTTCTGCGCGCCACTTCCGGGTGACGTCCTAGCTTTAACACTGATTCTTTTTTCGACTTTAGACATATTTGTTGTGACGGGGGTCTTCATCAGCCGGCCTGTCAACGCACGGGTTAAATCGGTCGATACATGGTCGCAACGAACTGTCATACGCAACCCAAACCACCCCCCCCGAAATCGAGATCCTGGCACGACCCCCTAAAACAGAGCAAATTAATTCAATTAATTAATCAAAATAAATCCTGCAAATAAATCAAAAAAATTCTGCAAAATAATGTTATGGACGCCTCATCTTGTCATCTATGCACTGTCTTTCATCGCTGCACACTTTTGTGTATTTACTGAAATATCGACTCGAGGAAAGAGGCATTAACTTTGTGTGACCTCGAAAGTCAGGTTCGTTCAGAAACGCACAGAAATCCTGAAGACACGGGGTTGCGATTCAATCTTGATTCTTGCTTGAGTATATCAAAACAGCCGAGTGTATCAAAGGCCGATTCAACGGCAGCTGCGGCGCGATTGTCACTGGGTCAGATTTGCCGAAATTTCAAAAAAAAACGTCCGAATCTACACCCTCGATGAAAAGGTTGCATTCCTCCATTTCACAACCTTTGAAGCAGCTTGAGGTAGGGTTAGATAGAGCTGGATTTCGCGTTTCCAAGAAGTATTGAAATTGCTCTGAAAGTCTTCCATGCAGAAAGATAGGGTCTCTCAAATTTCGTCGAGTAAACGTCGAGGACGCTGAAATTTTCACGTGAGTTTTTGCCACTTCAAAAGCAATATCTCTCTAATGTCGTAAGATCCTGAAAAGGGAAGATAGTTTTGGAAAGCGGAAGGTTTGCGCTTTCTGATGGTCTTCTTAGCTTTCTTCTACATTCCCTAGTTGAGAAGATATCTGCGTCGAGTATGTATCGAGGACGGATCCGGCCACCTGAAAATCCGCTCCCTCCTTCACTATTGCAAGTGTGATTCGTTGGCAACACTCGGAATGTGTCTAGAACAAAATCTTTCAACGCAAGCAATAGAATGGGGCAATCGTCGTCATCATCCGATTTCGTATTGGTGTAAGCCATGCATCCGTGCTCCACTCACAGTTGCAGAATCGATTGAAAGGTGTTATATGATCATGACAGTTGACAGAAGCTGCATTGTAGTAAACGCATTTCGTAACTCCTACAACCTAAAGAACAACTTCATTTGCCCAGGGCTTTTCCTTCACGGTTGTCGTTTTTGCGACAGGGTCCCTAACAACAGTGTCATTCTCAGCGAGGTATTAAGGGAGAAGGAGCGAGCGATAGGCAGAGGAGGTGCCTTTGCAGCGCGTGCGCACATGTGGCAGTCTTCTTTGCGGGGATGCACTTTCATTCTTTGTACTGCCTTCAAATACGCCCTTCTCATGAAGGTGGAGGAATGGAGCGACTGAACCTGCAAAGAAAATTTAATATCATGTTTTTTTTCAGATATTTTCATTTTCTGCTGCGCTATACCCTCTTACCTATCTGCACCACGATACCACCACTGCTGTTACTGACCCCCAAGAGAACGACCCCCTCATGACCCAGCCCGACAGGTACGACCCCCCTGTCGAGGATTTCCCTCGACCGATATTCACCCGGCTGTCAACCTGGGCCTGACGCTGGTACTAGAACCATTTTTGCAATTTTTGCAAGGCATGGTTTAGAGCCTCGGCAGGGATCGAACTCGCGGTTTTTCAGGAGGTGCAGACATGAGTCTAACCTCTTAACCACTCGGCTATCCCTGCCTCGTTTGTATGATGTATGCAATAAATGCTGGCTGGTTTTCTGAACGCTCGAAGTCTAATAGGCAGTGGAGAGCAATCGATAAGCACTCATTTGATGTGGAACTGACATAGTACTTTGAGTTGCACAGCAGCACAGAAAGCGTGTTAGCATTGTCATCGTGTTGTCTCTATATTCCAAAATAAAACGCTTTTTATTATATTCTTACAATGCGTTGCCCAATAGGTGGCCGCCCCTGGGCGCACTTCCTTCCATGCACCGCCCTTGGCTCCGCGCGACCTACCTTCGACCATCCTCAGAGCGTAGTTTTCGTAATACTTTTCGTTGAGTACTAAATCTTCGTTTGAAATTTAGTATGTTATCTCTAACAATCAGAATTAAGGAAGGAAATCGAGGATTTTTCGGGGAGGATTTTTTCTTTTTCAGATATCGTAAAATTTT